ACCTGTGCACGTGTGTGCACCGAGCAGCGTGGCAGGGCAGGTGTGCAGGGCTCTGCGGCGTGGTGGCCGTGCTGGTGGCTCCGTGCCTGCCGGTGACGGTGACAGTGACGCCGTGGGCAGCTGGACCTAAGCCGGGGGACGTGCAGCCTGGCAGCTCTGCCACGCTGCGGAGAGGGGGACGGGGACGGCGAGGGGGGGCCATGCCCAGCCCGGCCAGCTTGGGCACAGGGACAGTGGGACAGGGACACCCTGGCACGCTGAGCCATCGCCCCAGGTCCTTCCACGGCAGCACGTCCCCGTGGCCTCCCTGCTGTCCCTCGTTGTCTTTGGGGATGGGGACGAGGCCAGGGACAGGGGTGCAAGCCTGGCTCACGGTGAGGGTGCCAGCGCCTGGCGCGAGGTGCCCGTGCCCCCCCCCGGCCTCGGAGGGGACAATGGGACTCTGTGCCGCCCGCCGTGCCCGCCGCCTAATCCGGGGCACGGGGCTGGGGGCCGGGCACCCCGGGGTGGCACAGGGCGGGGGTTTAAAGGCCAGAGCCGAGCGGTGTCCCCTGTGCCAGGCTTCCCCGAGCCCTCGTCCCCTGCGCGTTCTCAGGCCACGGCTCCCACCCCAAGGTACCCAGGGCAGGCGCGGGGGACACAGCTGTCCCGGCTTGGGGACCGCAGGGTCATCCCCCAGCCAGGGACAGAGGGGGCACGGGACAGTCCCCAGGCTGGGGGGGGGTGGGACACGGACCTGCTGGGACCCCCGTGGCTGCCCCATGTCTGCGTCTTGGGGGGTCCTCATGCTGGCAGGCGCTCACCGGCGGGCAGGGGACAGAGCCATGTGTCCCCTAACCCTGTCACCGGGTCCCAGCCTCCCCATGGGGCTGTAGGAGCTGAGCTGGGGGACCCTGGGTGGGTGGCTGCAAGCGGACACCGCTCAGCTCCGTGCCTCAGTTTCCCTTCGTGCCCAGGTCTGCCAGGCACCCTGCTGGGAGCTGGGGCACCCCTAAGGTGGGGGGGACGGATGACAGGGAGGTCCCAGATACCCGGGTCCACGTCCCCAGGGCACCTTGGCACCCTGGGCACGGGGTTGCCCCCGACGGTGCTGAGCTGGCATGGGATTACGCTAATCCCTGCTCGGGCTCAGCCGGAGCTGGCAGGGTCACCGGGGCTGGCACCGAGGGGACAACCTGGGGTCACCCCGGCTGGCTCCAAGGGGTGCCCCAGGAATGGTGCCTGGCCTTGGTGGGTGCTGCAGGAGGGGGGGTCCCCAGCACTGGGTGGGGGTGACCAGGGGCTGGCAGGTCCCCAAGGAAGTCCCGCTGACTCTGCCCGTCCGTCTCTTGCAGCCCCTCGGTCACCAGGATGGTGAGTGGCCCCCAGGTGGGGGGAACCGGGCAGAGGTGGGTGCCCCATCCCGGTGGGGCACGGCCCCGGTGAGCCCCGGCGGTGCCGGGCACTGCTGTAGGGAAGCGGGTGGCGTGGCGAGCTGTGCCCACCCGCCGCGTGACCCCGTGGGGACAAGGGGACGCTTTGTCCGGGAGCTGGCGGCCACGGCAGCTGGCACTGCCCCGCCATCCCCGAGGTGGTGGCTCTGTGCCCGGCACCCGCAGCCCCCTGACACCCCCACCCACGTGTGGGCAGTGGCACCCTGTGCCCCTCTGCCCCATGGCAGCCCCTTACCCCCACGGCTGCCCCATGTCCCCCATGCCAGCATCCTACCGCCGTGCCCACCCAGTGTCTGCCCCAATGCCGGCCACACGCCAGTCCCATGCCAGCCCCTTAGCCCCATGTCAGCCCCATGTCAACACCATGCCAACCCATTAGTCCCATGCCAGCCCCATGCCAACCCATTAGCCCCATGGCAGTCCCATTCCAGTCCCTAAACCCCATGCCAGGCCCATGCTACGCCCATGCCAGTCCCTAAACCCCATGCCGGCCCCATGCCAGCCTCCTAGCCCCAAGCCAGCCCTATGCCAGTTCCATTCCAGTCCTTGAACACTATGCCAGCTTATTAGCCCCATGCCAGTCCCTTAACCCCATGCCAGCTCCATGCCAGCCCATTAGCCCCATACCAGCCCCATGCCAGTCCCATTCCAGTCCCTTAACCCCATGCCAGCCCCATGCCAGCCCATTAGCCCCATGCCAGCCCCATGCCAGTCCCATTCCAGTCCCTTAACCCCACGCCAGCCCCATCTCTGCTCCCTGCAGCTCTCAGTGGACCAGACGAGTGTGGAGCCAGTGTCCAGCCCGAAGGAGCAGGAGTGGGCAGGGCCGGAGGCACTGTGCCCGGGCTGGCTGGAGGATGAGGCCCTTGATGGCGAGGTGCCCGAGGACAGCGGGGACCCCGACTGTGCCACCCACGCCTACGAGCTGCTCCAGAGCGCCCTGCGCCAGGAGGGGCTGCCCCACACGCTGGACCACTCCGCGGAGCCCCGCACGGGTGGGGGGCACGGGG